CTTAATTTTTACAAATTTCACTTGCTTTATGAGCTTGTGCAATTTTGTTGTCTTTGAAAAATTTATTTGTGCTGATTAACACCAAATTGCATTCAGAATCAAACCTATACATTGTTAGTTAATTGTTCTTAGTGCTAGAGTATCCCATGGTGAAATCAGAAGTCTCGGGGGTCAAACCCCCAGCTTGTGGGGACTAAGATTATTTCCCTTCTTTGGCCTTGTGACAAATAAGTTTTTATTTTGAAGAGTGTGTGCAGTTGTTCAGAAAAGTTACCTTCAGCTTTTTTTATTTTTTTTTTTTTATTTTATCTTTGACCTGTCAACCATAAAAGTGCAGAGGATAAGGTGAAGAGCAAATCATGAATTGAAAGTAAAAATCAATGTTCAATTTGGAGACACTTTCATTGGCAACATCATTCTTCACCAAAAACAAAATTATATATCAATATTAATTACAAAGTAAATTATTTAAATCAGGAAGAAACAAAACAATCAGCTTTGGATAATCATCAACATTGAACAATCTTTATTTTAAATGCTTGGTTTTGCTTCTACACAAAAGTAACTAAACCCCACTGGTTAATTTTAATCAAACATTATCATAGTCAATGGAAAATCTTTACTTTTATCGTACTTTAATTGCTAGCTTCTATAGATACAAAAGCACATTGGCATAGGTTTGAAATTTATAATATAAGAACAAAACCACTTAAAAATGGTTTTGCAACCAATAGTAAGAAAAACTACCTGCAATTCCAAAAATGTTTGAGGTTTTCAATATGAAAACTTCCCTGTAACCTTTTCGGAATCCATGGCAGACTACAGAGTGGGTTGATCTCACCTTTTTTTATAGTTTGACTTAAAAATAGAACTACGGCAAATGCAATTAATTGTTTATGTGACATGACTTAGAAAAATTGTAAACAATTACACTCCACTAAAAAAAATAATAATGACCAAGCGAGGCATACCCAACTGTTTTGCCTCTGGCCAGTTGAGAGCTTTAAACTCCATGTTTATTTACAATGTTTATTTACAATTTGTTTCTATAGGTGATCCTGAAAACCATCAAGTGGGTGGTCAATTAAACTTGTAATCAAGTCTACCTGTGCCTCTGTGAGTGTTCCTAGTTCAGGTTGCTCTATCAACTAAGTCACAAAGTCAAACACCAGGAGCAGGACAAGAAGCATTCCATCAGTTGCAATCTGCAACCTGTTTAATTTCATTTGTTGCCAACACATTCCTGTGCAGCGAGCAAAGATCCCACTAAAAATTTCCTAGCTTATGACATGCGACTTTGTAGCTCATCTGTTTGAGTGCCCAATAAATATACAGAGGCACAGGTTTGTACTCTGTAAAATCCTGACTTTTTTTAGGCTTCTTCAACTGTGAGGATGACTCCCTTACTGATGTAATTATGGAGGGTTGTTACAGATAAGGAGTTTCTGGAAATTTCTAGAAGACTGATTAGTTGAGCTAAATGAATACTGGGGCAATCTCATGCAATGCTCTGGAAATTTCCACTACGTGTTGCAAAGGTCCATAAAATATAGAATAATAGTTATTTTGTAACCTTCTGGAAAACTCTAAAATGCCTAATAAATGTACATAAATTGCCATTCACCAATCACAGTTAATTGTTATTGACTGCAAAGACTGCTATGAGTTTAAAGAAGCTAAAGAAGGCCATTGAAGTCTTCTATGGATGCTTTCCCACATTAATTCCTACACACATAAATGTATGTCACTCCCTCCTGAAAAGGTCTTTTTAGTAACAATATTGAAAAATCAAATGCAAATTTTAAAGAATACAAAACTTAATCAATTATGATTCATTATTCTAATTGGTCAAATGGAAACAATTCAAACAAAAGTTGTCATTATATTTCTTTCAATTAAATTGAAAGTAGTTCAAATACTATTTTTGTTTCAGAAAAGTTTACCTAGGAGTTTATCAACAG